GCATCATTGAAGGGAGGGAAAGAGACTGAGAGACAGACAGACTGGGAACCTGTGTTCTTGGTTGGCTGTCTTGCACCTGTCACCAGAGTACTCTAGAGTCAGAAAAATCTGGGCTTCTCAGCTCTGAGATGCCTGCGAGTTCTGTGATTTCTCTGTACCCAGAGCAGGGGGATGAGAAGCTGCATGCAGTTGGAAAGCACGAAGCCAGGTTCACACATGTAGTGACTGATATGGTACCTGGCTCAGTCTGTGACGCTGGTCCTTGTTTGAATTTCCTGCAGCTGCATGCAATTCCTGCTGGTCTGGCTGCTTATTTGTTCACTCACTGACCCAGGGCCCTCCCAGGACCCACTGAGTGCTGTGCATGGCACAGGATCCCTTGGTATAAAAGGGACAGGAAGTCAAAACTCCCAGTGGACCATCCCAGCGTGCAGTTTAGAGGCTGGCAGTGTTCTTGGCAAGAAGCTATTCTCCTCCCTTGGCCTCGCTGGGCCCCAGGATGTAGTTCTTGTTTTTGCTTTGTTTTGTTTTGTTTTGCCTAGGACTTTAAAACTCTATCCCTGGGCTATAGTCAGATGCCCTGGTGGAGGGAGCATTCAGAGTCACGTGCCAGTGAGCCGCTGGCCCCTTGCTTTCATGCCAGGGACACACAATTGTCCCTAATGGGACTGAATGATGAGCTGAAGATTTTGGGGAGAGCAAGGCCAAATCCCTGTGTGGCTCCAGAAACCAGGATAAATATAGCCGAGTAATTGCTTATGCTCTTTTAAGGATTAAAAGTCAGCTTTCGGGCAAGCTGTGAAGCTCCATTACCAGGAGAGCCAGGGACACAGTTCCTTTTTTAGACCTGTGGTCAGTGCTCCTCCTCGTGCGTTGCTGGAACCCAAGGTTCCATGATTCTTTTCCCACTGGGGTAACCTGGTCACCCTCATTTAGATGTCACACCATGAGGCTGGGTGTGGGCTTGGGGTCTTCCTTGCATATCCCATCAGTCAGCACTGTATCTAGCTTACTAAAGGTGCTCAAGAAAGCTTTCCAGCAAATGAATGAACTGTAACACTCTATTTTTAGAATAGCCTTTAGGACAAGATCTATAGTCTAGTTAACATGACGTCCCAAAGCCAATTTCCTGTTTTTCGAAATACATTGTATGAAAGCGAGGTAAGATGTCACTGTTGGGGAAAGCTGCGTGAAAGGTTTGTGGGCTACTTGTTCCATGTTTGCAGCTTCCTATGAGTCTGTAATTATTCCAACACAAAGGATTCAAAAACAACCTTTAGCCAAGATCATGCAGGCATTCTGACACTTGGCAGTGCTAGGAAATTTAATTCTGACTCACAGCAATGCTTTTGATTTGTTGTTACTATTTTTAAAAATTTATTTTTACTTATCAGAGCAAGAGCATCAGACAGATATCTTCCATCCGCTGGTTCTTTCCCCAAATGCTCACAATAGCCAGTGTTGGGCCAGACTGTATCAGGCGCCAGGAACCCCTGATACACGGACAGCAGGGACCCAAGTGCTTGAACCATCCCTGCTGCCACCCACTTTAACAGAAAGTGGGAGTTGGAGTTCCGATATAAGATGCAGGTATAGGGAATCATAGGATAAGGCTCTGCCTGTCTCCCTGACGTCTCATATGTGGGCTGGTTTGAGTCCTGGCTGCCCTGCTTTGGATTTTGCTCCCTGTTAATGGCCCAAGAAAGCAGTGGAGGAGGGATCCAAGTGTGTGGCTCCCTGAACTCACATGGGAGCCTTGGAAGCTCCTGGCTCCTAGTTTTGGATCAGCCAGTTTTGGCCATTGTGGCCTTTTGAGGGGAATAAACCAGTGGATAGAAGATCTCTCTGTCTCTCCTTTTCTCTCTATTAATTCCCCCTTTCAAATAAGAATAAATAAATCTTTAAAAAGACACAGGGAGCCTGGCTCATGGCTCAATGGCTGTATCTTCATTTTGCACACACCATCATCCCATATGGGCACCAGTTTATGTCTCAGCTGCTCCACTTCCCATTCAGCTTCCTGTTTGTGACCTGGGAAAGCAGTACAGGATGGCCAAAGCCTTGGAACCCTGCACCCAAGTGTGGGAAGCTCCAGGATTCGGATCTGGCCATGGGAGTGAACCAGCAAATAAAAGATCTTTCTCTCTGTCTCTCCTCTCTGTAAACTCTACCTTTCCAATAAAAATAAATCTTTTTTTCCTGGGCCCATAAAGTATTATTTATTTATTTATTTATTTATTTAATTTTTAAGAATTATTTTTTAAAAACATTTTTTATATCATTTTATTACACAGTTTTGTAGGCTCTGGGATTTCCCCAGCCCCTCCTCAAACCGTCCCCCATTTTGAATTCCTCCATATTGTTACAGTAGTATAGTTCATAACCAGTCATGATTCCTTCATTGCGGGCATGGACCATGCAGAGAGCCCAGCATCTTATTGTCCAGATAAATTCAACAGTTTCATTGGGAGACCATCCTTGGTCTGAAAGTAGAGCTGGCAGAAGACCCAGGTGTAGCAGAAAGTGTTTTAACTGCTGCACTAGATGTCTGTTCCCTATTATTTGAATGTAAACACCTACTTCATTCACACAATTCAAGATGTCAAATGTTTGAATAAGGTAGCAAGTGGATACAGTAGCTAGTCTTCATCCTAGACACTTAGCAACCCCTTCCCCAAGCAGCTGTTGCTCATTTCTTGCATTTGTTTCAATGGGATTTGTGCACTGACACATATTTAGTATGTGCACAAGTATGACTCTCAATGTACTTGTGTGCCTGGTTGTGTATATTAGACACACAATTTCTTTGGCCAGTCGCACAGCAACATCTGTGAGCTCCTGTTTTCCGTCTTCCCATGCTGACTGTATATTCTGGAGGTTTCTCATGGGGACGCCTGAGGCTTCCTGGGGCTTTGTTGTGGTTGCCCCTGTCTACTTTAATGGCCCTCAATTGATGGGCACTGATGCTGCTTCCAGCCCTTCTGCTTTAAAAACAGTCCTGCCTGGATGCCCGTGGTCATCTGCCATTTCCCAAGTGTGGGAGTGTGTTTGTAGAACAAATTCCTAGAAGTGGAGCGAGGTCAAAGGATAGGAACCTTCTAATCTTGATTGTGATAAATTGTCCTCTGTGGTGCTCGTCCCATTTTATACGCCCACCAGTAATGTGTTTCATCAAATGCTTGTGACAGTACAGTCACACGCAAAGGTTATCTGGTCCCCACTACGTGAGTTTGTCCTCTCCCCAGGAGAAAACAGAAAGTAGAGGATGTTTTATTGACAATTTCAGTTTGCTTCGGGATCTCTGAAGACCACCTGGGAACCAACCGTTCAGAAACTCTGATTGAAGGGAAGACCGTACAGTGAAGAAGGCAGAGCTATGGGACCAACACAGCTTTGCTGCTCAGGCCTGTGGGACTGTAAGCCAGTGTTTTAACTTCCTGCCTCCGTTTCCCTTTAAAAAAAGAGATCCAATTGTTATATTTCAGAATACATTTGTGAGTCTTCATATGTGGTTTTACATAAAGCACTTTTTATGTAAAGTTTTTATGTACATATAGTTTATGCATGCATCTGTGCACCCCCCCACACACTCACAGGCACATGTTTCAGGCTGTACTTTAAACTCTGGTTTCCAGTGTCTCTGTAGTAATTACTGCTGGGCTCACCAGATCACCATCAGAACACAAGCCTCTTGTGAGACACCCCTGGAGGAGGGAAGCTTTCATCCAGTGCAGAATTTTGGGTCCCAGAACTTTGGAATCCCAAAGAGAAATCCAGGGAGGTTTGTACTTGGGGATTTTAGCACACATTTAAATCGAACAAACAATGCTGCAGCGTTTGGCAACTTTCTTCTAGTCCCTAGAATAGCAATTCTAGAATTTTCCACTGTGAGGCTTTGCCATTGGGGGCCTGTATCCAGCAGATGCCCAGGTGTGTGTGGGCACCCAAGAGGAAGCAGGGCTGGTCCCCAAGAAGGCCTCCTCTGATTTCATTCATAGGAAAGAAACCAGTGGCGAAGGTGTTAGAGAGCACGCACTGCCATTCTACCAGGGATCTCAGCTCTAACTCCTCCAGTGGAGGGAAAGGACATCCAGAACACACACCTGAGGAAGGTGCTGGGTGGGGGCCCAGAGCACCGGGCTCCATGGAAAATCCCTGCCACAGCTGTACAGGTTGGGGCAGCCATCCCAGGAGGGGCTGAGGTGACAGGCTTGGCAGCTCCAATCCCTCGCACTCTGGGCTATAACTGCTGAATGCCTTCTGGGGTGGCAAGTGATCAACCAAGGCCAGGGCTCCTAGATTTGGCAAATAAAAACACAGGATGCCCAGAACAATTCAAATTCAATTAAAACTTCAGCTCCACTGCACATAATCTTTTAATGTACTTCACATGTTATTTGGGACAGAGCTGCACTAAAATAACTATGTGTTGTTGATTTGACATCTCACTCTAGATCAACAACACATAATCTTTTAGAGTATCTCATATGGCTATTTGGGACAGACTTACACGGAAATGAGGCAGTGTTTATCTGAAATGCCATTCAACTGGGTGTCCTGCAATTTATCGGGCAGTGCCTAGGGGTGACACCCAGGGGCTCTGTGTGTAGCCCCAGAAGGAGCTGGGTCATCCATACAACTTGAACTCAGCTTGGAGCTCCATGAACTTGGCTTTGGTGAGCACTGAACATGAGGTGGACGGAGTGGGATTCTGGACCCCATGCAGACACACAGGAGAGAGACAACTCCTCATTTGTCTCTGGGCAGGGGCAGACATGTCATTCTCGCTGACGCAGCCCTGCTGAGAGGCTAGCGCTGCGCCAAAACTCAAGTGCTGCCTCCTTTAATCTCCCTGACCACCCTGAGCCTTCACTGTTATCAGCAGCACTCCCACTTCCTGGACGAGGAAACTGAGGCTCCACGTCGTGAGAACCACAGGGCTGTGAAGTGTAAGAGCAAGGATCGACAGTTTCTGGAGCTGCTGCCAGGTTTGGGATTAGCTCAATTTCCCAGGCCCTTCTCTCTGGTAATCCTAAGGGTTTAAGGTGGGGTAGCCCCTGCTTCCAAATCCCTGGGACAGGAAGCAGTGCCGGCTTCTCCTGGCCCTGGGCCAGGGTTGTATCCAGACCCACAGGCTTGCTTGCAGACTCGGAACTGGGAGGCAGATCTGCAGAATCCTCTTCATTCCTGCCTGGCCTGGACCGTGTCTGGCTGAATGGGCTGCCCAGGGACCCTACCATCTGCTACAGGGACCCTAGGAGTAAGGTCCCAGGGTGAGGCGCTGCCTTGCTGCAGGCTTAGCCTGCCCTGACTACTCTGAGACTGACTGGTCAGTGTCTTCAGCCCATCAGCTCCTTGCGCCAGGCCAGAGGGGGCTCCCAGAGGAACTGTGCTCTAAGTCCCAGCCCCTCTTGGAGGAGGAGGCGGGCGGCCAAGGCTCTGCAGCCAGAGGCTGCTCAGCTCAGAGCTCCGGAGCCAGATGTAACATTGACCTTAAATGGTAAAAGCTCCCCAGAGTGAAGAGAGGCTGGCCAGAGGAGGAAAGGGGAATAACTCAGTTTTAGGTAAGTCCTCTATATCCTAGAATAACCTGCCTCTTCAGCTGGGAGGGCAGCCACGGAGCCCTTCTCCTCCTTAAAGGTACAGGGTGCTGGGATGGGGGGCATACATCTGTCGGTCGGGTGGCACTTGAACTGAGCATTTTTGTGGTTGCTGACCCAAGGTTTAAATAAGAGGTGAATCTTACCGGCCATAACGGAACTAAACAGGCTGGCCATAACAGGCTGCTGGCTGTGGGGGACGCAGCCACCTCCTGGCAGAGGGGGCATGGAGGGTGCAGGGAATGATATGGCCCTTCTCCCTGCACAGTCCCACTTGTAACTTTCCCTCGATAGCCACAGAGGGGTCCTCCCATTTTGCAAGCTGCCCTGCAGGGCTGTCTCCTCTCTGAACTGACGGGATATCTCTCGCCCTGTCCCAAACACTGCCCTTGCTCACCTGTCCTGTGTTCTAACCCAGCCCCTGTTTTGGGTTGTGTCCCGCTTTATTCTCTCCTAGCACCTGTGCCTGGGGCCCTGCTCCCTCCAAGGGGGTGCCTGAGGTCCAGTCCTGCTCACCTCCAGGGGCTGGGAGTTGACTCTTCTCCTAGAGAGAGTAGTATTCTGGTTGGCTCTGTTCAAAGGAATGATTGGTGAAGCCAGAGGCCAGACCAAGGCCTGGCTGGCGTGCTCCCTGCTGCCCAGTAAACCGTTGTAAACGCTGGGAGAGAGGCTGGGCCATTTGAGTAAACAGCAGTGGTTGGGGTCTGGGACCCCTGGCTGGTGCTCTGGCCTCCTGGGGTAACAGCTGCTGGTTTTTGAGCCTTGTTCAGGCAGCTGATGGTCTGCCGGCTGCTGCGGCGTGAGACAGCAACCCCTGGGGCCAAGCTCAGCTGGGGAGTTTGCAGGGACAAGGAGGAAGCCTTTCTGGGACTGGCAGGCTGGGCAGCTGCTCTTGTTTGTGTTGCCCCCACAGGAACTGATGGAATGCAGGTGAAGCAGGGATGGAGGGCATTGCCCTCCTACCTGCAATACTGTCAGGGAGGAGGAAGCTCAACTTCAGTGACTAAAGTCATACTCCATGCCTTCCACCCCCAGAAGGGCCAGAGCTGGGACTTGAACCCTTGAATCTGGGGCCATGTGACTCTGATTCCATGCTCCTGCTTTTATTGCATCTGTGTGAGGGCACACTCCTGCCTCTGTGAGAGCCTTAGTCTGAGAGACCAGTCCTTACAGTTGTCCCAGGTGTGTGTGTGTGTGTGTGTGTGTGTGTGTGTGTGTGTGTATGCGTGCACGTGTGTGTGTATGTTTAAGTGTTGGGGTGGCTCTTTGCATTCACCACCATTAGGCTTTCCTCTGTGCTTGGGCTGTGGGCATTGTGACAGCACCTATAGGATCATCTAGGAGGGAGAACTATGTGCTAATGGCTATGCAATGCGACTCTCTCTCTAACCATGTTTTCTGGGAAACCAGTAGTGAACATCTAGTTATTGTGTAAGTGAATGTGTAGCTATTCTTGTGCCTTTCCTAACCAGGAACACTCCAGAAGCTCCCCCTCCTCTGCAAGCAGGGGATGCTGTGGGCAGCCTCCCCTTGCAGCACAGAGAGGGCACACAGCTGGCAGCTGACCCCAGGCAGCCAGTCTCTGCAGCCTGGACTTGACCATCGTGCCCCACGTCCCTCTGCTGCGTCCCATGGCTGAGAGGATGGGGGTGCTTGCTGATGAGACCATGAACCCTTTTCTGCAGTGTGTAAGGGCTTTCTGTCCCTGAACAGCACAGCTGAGGCCCCTGGGGTTAAAGGATGCTAAGTGTCCTCTTCAAACTCACACAGCCACCAAATGACAGAGCAGAGGCTGTAGCTAATGTCTTGGGCTAGGATGACGGGGGTCACGCTATACTTTCTATGGAAAACTGAATTCCCAGAGAAGTTGGGAGCTCCTCCTTTTGGGGTGCCAGGTTCCCTGAGTCTTGGTTGGGAAGCTAGATTCCTATGGAATGAGCCACACAGAACAGGTTTTGAGCCTGACTATTGGCCTTACTCTTCCTCCGAGCTTTCCCAGCCAAGGTGGAGCAGAGGCTGCAGCTGGTGAAAACAGTTGTGACTCAATCCCCACAGTGTGCCCAGTCCCCAGAATGCAACTAGGAGCTCACTCGTTTCCTCAGAATCAATTGTGTGGATTTTTTGTTTTTCATGAGTAAATGGATACAATGCTTAGAAAATATGTAAATATGTTCTGGTTCACTGGGACTGTGAGTTTATTATATACCAGTTCCTGGTAGTGATATTTATCCAGTTTGTATTAACAGTGTGCAGAGAGGGGCTCAAGTTACTCAACACTTCTTGCCCCACCATCCCTCCTGGGTAGCCCTAGACAGCCACCCTCCCACCCCGCCATCCCTGGAGCCTATCGTCTGTATGGCTAGGCAGTGGGCATACTGTTGGCTGAAGGGCAAGAGCTAAGGCCTGGGTTTGGAACCCTCGGCTCCTGCCCCTGCTCTAACCCCTGCCCCTGCCCCCTGGGGAGGCAGATGGAAAATATAAAAACAAAGAGAGGAAGAAATGAACATGAACTGAGCTTCTGCCTCAGGATCTCAGCCAACGTGACTTTGTTTCGGTGCTCATGTTAGAAATAAATGCCTATGGCCCTGAGAGAGGACCCAGCTGGCAAGGTGGTCAGCAGGAATTCTGCTGAGGCTGCCTCCCAAAGGACCACTTCCTGTGTCAGATGTCACCTTGTCCCTCGTCAGTAGCTCAGGTCCTCTGGAGCAGGTCATTGGGTGTCCCAGCTCCAAATCAGAGGCGGATCGAGAGAAGAAGGGGCAGGGAAAGCCGTGTTTGTCCTGAAGACCTTGAGGCCAGATCTGGGTGCAGGCCGCAGCCCAGGATGCTCTCAACAGATGGACCTGCAGACTCAGAGCCTCAGCTGAGACAGTACACACCCTTGACCTTGGACAAGCTCTAACTTCTCATGGGAGCCTTCTCCAGGGAAGACTGAACACAGATGACCATGCAAAACCTTTCCCAGTCAGGCACAGATGTTAAAAAAAGAGAGAAAGGAAGGAAGGAATAAAGGAAAGAAGGAGAAAAAGAAAGGAAGATACAAAAAAAGAAAGAGAGAAAGAAAGAAAAAGAGAGAAAGAAAGAAAGAAAGAAAGAAAGAAAGAAAGAAAGAAAGAAAGAAAGAAAGAAAGAAAGAGAGAGAAAGAAAAAGTTTGCTAAGGTCCAGTGTAACTACTTCTGCTTGTTTTCTTCTAGCTATTTTTTCACTGTGTATAGTTTTTTATCCAGGTCAGTTTTTTTCCCCCGGGGCCTAAAAGTAGTGTATGTTCCTTGCTAAACTTTCTTGCAGAATATAGGCAAGAGTATACATAAGGAATTCAGAAGTAAACATAACAAAGTAGACGAAAGTCCCATCAGGATCCTGTGACTCAGAGATAAATATTGCTAATGTCGGGCATGTTTCTTTCTTTAGACTTCTCTACAGACTACAGTCTGAGTGGAAATGGGTTGCTTGGCTTGCTTAGGTTGACAGTATTCTACCTAGGTATCTTCTCTACCAGTCAAGGCTTTTTACAACTCGGTCTCCCCGTGACTCTGTAACCATGTCCCATACTTTCAGCTGTGCAGTAGTTTAATCATCGGTGTATCGGGTGGTCATGTGCAGATGTGACTTTCGTTTGGGGACTGTCTCAGTGGCTCACGCAACACGGTGGCTTTTTGTCTGTGGCTTGTGGAGGCTCGGCTCTCAGAGGGGGCACTGGGCAGTGTGGTGACATTGGTCGGCTCGTTTATAAGCAGGATATTGATCTAACCTGCACTCACGACTTCCCATGGTCAGAACAGTGTTTTGGTTGCAGCTCTTTTAAAACCTGCAGGACCAGGAAGAAGCTTGTTGATGAGGGAGACCAGCTGCCCAGGTCTGTCCAGGAATGAGTTAGCTAGCAGAGGATGTCCCATTGCTAAACTGCAACAGTCCCAGGCACACCTCACAGTTGGTCACCTCATTCCAGCCTGGCCTTCCTTCAACATGTTTCTCACACTTTCTTGTCTCCCTCCTGTTTATGATTTAAAAAAAATTAATCTTAAAAACTTGCATTTGAGAGGCAGGGAAGAAGTGAAAGTGGAGAGAGAGGAAGGAAAAGAGAAAGAAAAAGAGAACACACTCCTGCCTGCTGGCTCACTCTCTAAAGGCCCACAATGCCGGGACTGGCTTATGGAGACACTGAGAGCTGAAACGCCACCCAGGTCTCCTGTGTGAATGGCCTGAACCCAATGATCTGAACCATCGCCTGCTGTCCCCCAGGGTGCCCATTCACAGGATGCTGGAGTCCAGGGCTGGAGCTGGAAGTTGAACTGAGGAGTTCCCAAGTGGGATATGGATGTCTTTGTTGCTAGGCTAAATGCCTGCACTGTTTCCCTTCTTGACAAAATGACAGCAGGCCTCAGCGAGGGAGCCTTTGGTATGCAATAGCCAGAATTTAATAACTGTTTTCATTTCATTTATTTTTACCATAAATCTCTATTTGTGGTCAGTGGTGCTGATTTTTCCATTTTAGGCAGGGATATAAAATTTCCCTTTTAGATAAATATAGTGACAATGGTAGCTAACAGTCACCGAGCGCTTACTGCGTGCCCCGTGATGGTCTAACGCTTTCCCTGCAGTAGCCCTTTCCTGATGGTAAGGAGGGGGGCATAGAGAGTAGGAACTGGTACAGCAATCCAAAGCTGGTACGTGGCAGAGCCAGGTTTTCAGTCTTGACTTTCTGGCCCTTGCTAGTCAAATTGAACACAAAGTAAGTCAGTGTAGAATGCAGCTCTGTAAGAGTAGTGAGCAAGTGACCAAATTTAGAAAGTACTGGCTTGGTGACAACCAGGGCATCCGGGAGCACAGGGTGTGGGGGAAGCTGAGCCCCCCTCAGCAAAACCAGAGGCTGGTGAGGACCCTGGGGACAGGTGGGAGAAGCTTGAGAGCTGTAGACATGGCCTGCTCATTTCCCAGGGGCCAGGATGCCTAGAGAGCATTG